CTTTCCACTCACTCAGGTTTCTTTGCCCGCTTCCTTTTTTTTTTTTTTAACCTTAATCCTATTTCTTTCTCTTACATTTCTTTCCCGGTCTTATTCTCCACCTGGTCTTTCTTCAACCTCGCTCCGCCGTCCAATTTGCGGTTAATCTCACTGTCTAACATCTCCCTTTTCTCTCTCTCTCTCTCTCTCTCTCTCTCTCTCTCTTCTCTCTCTCTCTCTCTCTCTCTCTCTCTCTCTCTCTCTCTCTCTCTCTCTCTCTCTCTCTCTCTCTTTCTGCGTCGATTTATCTACTTTCTCGTTCCCCACTCCCCCGTCATTCTGCGTCTATCGCCAAACCTGTCATTCATTCTTTTTTTTCATTGTCGGGGTCCCTTCCACTGTCTTCATTTATCCAATTACAGTTCTGCTTATCTTCTATCTATCTGTCTGTCTGTCTGTCTGTCTGGGCAGAATGTTAGACGGGCCTGCGTGCCCAATTCTTAACCCTTTAAAAATAAAGTTCGGATGTTCTATCTATCTATCTATCTATCTATCTATCTATCTATCTATCTATCTATCTATCTATCTATCTATCTATCTATCTATCTATCTATCTATCTATCTATCTATCTATCTATCTATCTATCTATCTATCTGTCTGTCTGTCTGTCTGTCTGTCTGTCTGTCTGTCTGTCTGTCTGTCTGTCTGTCTGTCTGTCTGTCTGTCTGTCTGTCTGTCTGTCTGTCTGTCTGTCTGTCTGTCTGTCTGTCTGTCTGTCTGTCTGTCTGTCTGTCTGTCTGTCTGTCCGTCCGTCCGTCCGTCCGTCCGTCCGTCCGTCCGTCCGTCCGTCCGTCCGTCCGTCCGTCCATCCATCTATCTATCTATCTATCTATCTATCTATCTATCTATCTGTTTATCTATCTGTCTGTTTATCTATCGGTCTGTTAAACACATGGACTTGTGCATCAACAGCAACAGGAATCTGACCCCGTAACAACGCAGGAGAAAGGTGCAGTTGAGAACTGGAAGTACACGTATCCATTCTGAGATCCTATGCAGGTGAGGCTGCCGTTAGGGAATCCGTTTTTAGGATGATCCCATCGAGATGACCTCTAGTCCAAGTACAGGCGGGTGACACTGGTTCTTGTAGTGCCTTGACTACCTTTCTCAGTTTCGATTTTTCTTTTCATGTCAATTATCTTTTTTGTAAAACACGTTTAAACTTTTAAACTCTCACGCTATATCTACAGTGAAGGTTAAATAAGGGTTGCCTCAACATGAGGAACTGTATTAAAGGGTCGCCACAACATGAGAAATCAAATACAGAGGTACTGAGGAAATTGGGAATGAAAAGAGAGCTTCTAGGTGAAATAAAAAAGAGACAAGTGAAATATTTTAGTCACATTAAAAGACATAACAGTATTGTAAAGATCATCCTAGAGGGAAAGGTTCAAGGTAGGCGAGCAAGAGGCAGACAGCGTTACAAGTGGGAGGATAACATCAAAAGATGGACGAACAGCAGTATGAGTGAGTGTACATCAAGGGCATGAGACAGGGCTTGTTGGAGATCCATTGCAGCCAACCTTCATTGTGGTGACGGCACCTGATTGATTGACAACATGAGAAACTACTAAAGGGTCGTGGCATTAGGAAGGGCCACCTCGTGTTTTTACATCAGACCTTCTCATGTATAGGGCCAGTGCTAGTAGTTGTGGCCGAATTCTGACGAGAGGACCAAACTATTTGATCTTCTCTTTCTCAATGAATTGGGTGCACGCCGTTGTCCCCGCAGTATATCTGATAGTATAATATTTTACTTTGTCTGCGATGTATAAGTACTTGGTGGATACAGCAAACTCAGTCACGCAGGATGCAAGACTAAATGTGGTAATTTGAGGACATCCCAGTATGTTAAAAATCAAGATATAGTTAATGCATAGACAAAATACATAATGATATGCTATAATAAAGCATCCTCAGTTTGGGATATTATCGGGGTGACAACAGTAAAAGTAATTTTGTGGAAATTAGCGAAATATCGGCGACAGAGTTAGTTCGGGGAAATTAACCTGGTGCCAACAACAATAAGTTTAATTGAGGTTTGAACAACGGATCAACTTCTTGGCACACGGGTAGTAACCCCATAAGTGCTCCGTTCTACTTCTAACTCAAGTCTGAGTCCGAAGTAGCTCAGCGCAGTGCACGGGCTCCGTAGCACCTGCGAGAATCTTGAAATATTTTGGGTAGATTTTTAACTCAAAATATTTTCCGGGTAGCGCCGTTAGGCTACTTCTCCCCCCCCCCCCCACCCTTTTAAGTTAATTCAAAAACGCATTGAAGGAATAACAATGTTAAGTCGGGGAAATTAAAGCGACGCTAACAAATGAAGCTAATTTTTGCACTAGGAAGTTAACGCAGTATCAACAAAAAAATTGAAGGATAGTAATGGCTTGTCCGAAGTTGAAGTTTAGTTCAATGAAATGTTCACCATGCCAACAAATAAAAAAAAAATAACGCAGTCTCATCAGTAAATAAAGAAGATTGTGAGAATTGACTGGATGCCGACAAGAAAGGAAATCAAGGAAATAAAAGCGGCACTGAAAGTTTATTCAGGGAAATTAATCGTTACGAGAGAATAACCTTAAATCAATTAAACTAACTCGGTGACAACAGTACAACAAACTCCATGTGTAATGGTAAAGTTCGGTATCAAATGTTTATAATAAATTGAGGCTGGGTTTGAAAAGTGCTGCTTTTGAGTTCCAGACACGAAGTACACAAGAGACTTGGAATGAGCTTGACAACTGCCAGGGTAGTTTCCGAGAACGAGTGCGCCGAAAGGAATTCACATGTTTTTTGAGAAAGTCTGGGATCTGGTGTGCTGTGCGTATGTCAGGAATGCGAGCAGTTTATTTTTGCTTTTTGTTTTTAAATTAGTAAACTAATCTCAGGCTTTTTCACATCTTGCGATAACCAACTCTTTCTTTTTCTTCTTCTTCTTCTGCTGCTGCTTCTTCTTCTTCTGCTGGTGCTGCTGCGTTTTACAACGGGATCTGGCCGACGCTCAACACTGGAGGAAAAGGCGAGACGGATGTACACTCAGACAGTTACTGGTACCATCAGAATTAAAACTCTTCGCTTGGTGCCGAAGATGGGGACGGGGCGTTTATGGGGGTGTCTGAGTGCTATGATGTCGATTTTTAATTCAGCAATCTTCTTCTTCTTATTCTTTCTCATTATTCTCATCCTATCCCTTCTTCTTCTTCTTATTCTTCTTCTTCGCGTTTACCATATGCAACATCCGGCAGAAACTTTTGGTTGTTCGTTTACTTCTCGTCACTGGTCTTGTTCCAGAACTTGAGTGTTTGATTAACTTAAGGTTAAGTTTTGATGTAGCCTAGCGCTGTCTTAGATCATCACCCCTTCTCATTCACACTCCTCCCCCCTCTCCCCTTCCAATCTAGAAGGAGGAAGAAAATAACATGTAACCACGTATGAATTGTATTTAATATATTTTTATTTTTTTTTATGTCTTCACAGAAACCTGAAGCGTTAGGAGACTACCAGGCCCGGACTATATTGGCTGAATCGAGCAGACAGAAAAAAAAAAAACCCGATAGACAGAAAGTGGCTAGCAACAAGACAGCAAGGGGACGCTGAATAATAACCGGTATTACTATTGATGACAGTTGTCTTGACAGCTACCGGAACCAAAACATCGAAACCTTGAAACTTGTCAGCCATGCAAAGAGCGAGCGGGCGAGCACAATTCCACTCAATTTGAGCACGTTCGACTCTTGTTTTTCTGTATGTGCGATACCAAATCCTCGTTTCAAACATCTCCTGTACCTGAGGCGAACTTCAACGCATTTCTTTTCTTTTCTTAAATGTGAAAGACACGATCTCAAAAAGTGGAGTCCCGAATCTGTTTTTATTTCATGTTTGGTAAATTCAAATGTGGGATTCATTCACGGAAGAGGGGTATAGTTTGTACATTCAACATTTGCAGATGACCTGGAAAAGGAATTGAACGGAAGACGTAACACATACCAGCTGTTTCTCCTATGATATAAGCACGGAGACGTCGCGCTGTTCATATTCTGCTTGTGGCTTCGTAAATTGGAAACAGTTTTCCGTACGTTTGCTGTGTTTTTGATTACGCAAGTTTCGTTTTTTGTGTGTGGATGATCCCGAGTGATCGTATGAACACAGAGGAGTTTATTTTTGGATTGTTTTCATAAGGGCGGGTTCATTGTTTACTTGTAGATCAGCAGTAAAATACACAATATAAATTAGACTGCAGAATCGCTAAAACTAGCAGTGGAGCAGTGTTCTTGTCTGTTTAACTTTAATTAAACACATTGTTTTCATATTTATCAGCTGATATCAAAGTTCAGTATTATCGCAGCAGTTTGTTTATTGACCAGCTTTGTTCATTGACCACAAACAGTTGTAGGTGACTGTTTTCAATAGTCGAAAGGAGATAGGTAGAAGTGCTGTGTCAGAAATAATGTTTCAACCATCTCGCTGGGGAATTTGTGTAAAGTCACAACTGCTACAGAGCCAGTAATATGTGCAGTCAGTTGATGACTGCAGTAAAGCAGGAGCCAGTTGTGGACAGTGATAGTATTATTAAAATAGTAAGTTGTAAAGAACTGTATAGTCACCTGAAAGCAGAATCTACTGACAACTGCTACAATTCATGACATATTAGGAATAGCAGTTTTCAATTTTCGTTAATACAGGCTTGAACGCTTTTCTATCAGATGCATTTCCTGAAAGTAAAAGGATCTCTGGCTGCTTTGTGTATATTTTAACTGATGAAATTTAGCAGGTATTGGCAGTTGACAATATTTGTTTCACCTGCCCATAAGTCATCTATCATTATTCATGGAGTATTGTGGCTGTTAAAGCATGTCCACTTGTAACTTCCTGTCAGTGGATACTTTGTACCAGCTCTACTCTTCCAGAAACTCATCAGAGGCATTCAGTCAGTGAGAACAAATTGAAAGACATCATCATGGTTTTTTCACTTTATAAAAGAGAGTCCAGCTATCAGCGGTTGGGCCAATTCAGAGAAATGCTCCTTATGTTGATTCTGCTGCAGTTGATCAGCCCCGGAAGTGGCCAGGTGGCTGTAGAATCCTGTAGCTACAATACAGCTCACACACTGGCCAACTGCAGCTCTCGTCAACTTCATTATGTACCTTCGACCCTTCACAAAAACATTTTAACCTTAGACATCAGTGGCAACAACTTTACAGTTCTGAGCAACCAAAGCTTCATTAGCTATAATTATATCAATAACTTGTACCTCAAGAACAACTCTATTCATATCATTGAAAGCCGAGCATTCTTTAGGTTGAACTATATAACTCTGTTGGACCTCTCCAACAATAAACTATCACACATACCTTTTGCCTCATTGGAAGTCATCGCTCGGTCCTTACTTTATCTTTTCTTGTCCGGTAACAAAATTCAGGTAGTTCCTGGCAATATGTTTGTGAACTTTTCAAATCTGCGATTGTTGGATTTAAGCGGGAACAGCATCCACAAGGTTGATTACGGAGCCTTTAAAGGGCTGCACTCCATGCTTGAATTCAAAATCAGGCATAATATTTTGTCCTTTCTGCCTCCAGATGCGTTTGATGATTTCCCAGAAAATATCAACAAAGTTCAGCTCTACGACAACCGCTGGTTCTGTGACTGTAAACTCAGATGGTTACGCCAGTGGCTGAACAACACCAGAGAATCTGTTTGGGACGCCTCTGGTTATAAAATTCGCTGTGATGGTCCGACCATAGTTCGCGAGAGACCTCTGGACTCGCTCTCGATGGATGAGTTGGCCTGCAGCGTCCAAATGAAAATTAGCAGCTCCACGCAGGAAGTACCCAAGGGAGCTAATATAACATTGTACTGCAAGTATTCTTCAGTTCCCGATGCAGAAGCAAAGTGGTTGAAGAATTCTGAAATAATTGACGTGCAGAAGAACGCCCACAAATACGGCGTTGAGACACAGATCCTTGAAGGCCATCGAGGGGAGAGGATACAGCAGAGCGAGTTGAGGATCAGAGACTTTCGATATGAAGATATCGCTAAATACGCCTGCTACGTGCAGAATATCCAAGGTTTTGCTACTACAGAATATAAGCGGACACTAGAAGGTGTACCATTTGTTGACGTCACCCCTTCTCCTAACGTGGAGACAGCTACGTCTGTTCTGGACCCTCGTAGTATTGTCATTGCAGTTGCTGTGGTCTGTGGCATCATCCTTGTGATTGTTGTTAGCGTTCTTGTATTTTGTTTTGTGAACCGGTTGCAGCGCAAGAGGCAGGCCAAGAAGAATGCCATTGTAGAAAATGTCAAGCAGCACTTTATTAATAACAGGTAGGTGCTTGTTTCTGATTTTTAATTGCATTAGCCAGTATGCCATAATTACTTTGAAGTCAGTCGCATCTGCCTGAACGGTGAGGAGCTAACAGTCAGCATACTTCTTCGTTCACCGACTGTAACCCGTACGGAAGGTCTTGGTTGTTCATCTTTTTTGACTTTAGCTTTGTGCCAGGGCCTGAGTTTTGCATTTGCATCCGTTTTACTGGCTTATTTGTGTGCAGTTGGTTGTTCCTTGTCGCTCGGGCAGATGCACTCTGACTTTGAAGGAAGCTCCCAATTATTCAAACTCCTGCAATATGCTTGTTGGGGAGGCAGTGGGTCTGTTCTAGTTTTCCCCCACATTGGTGCCCCGGAACCCACACAGTGAGTCAGCATACAACTAAGCCAGATCTGTATAATGAATGTGCATGCAACACTGAAGTTATGGAATGAGACCTGATTCCAGAAGTGTATAAACAACCAGAACTTTCCACCTGAGTTTACAGCCAATGAATGCTAAGAAAACAGTGTCTGGTTTTTATGATATTAGTATAATGTTACATTCTTTATTGTTTTAGATGTTCGTCTCTGACAGACCTCTTGTCCCAATACCTACACACCTATGTCTGCCAGTTCAACTCTGCTTTGACATACTACTTGTCCATATGTCTGATTACTTCAGGTCCATACGTCTTTAGTTCGAATCTACATAGAAGGGAACTTTTTCCAAAATTGGCCTTGTTCCCTAGATGAGCCCAACCTAAAATGGGTACCAGGTAAAGCACTGGGAAGTAAAGGCAGCCGACAGGATATTGACACCACTTATCAGGAGCTGATTGGTCTGTAAAACTATGTCCAACATCATATGCCTGATGGTCACACGTTAAATGGGTCCTTTCCTTTATTTAGTAACATGTATCTCTAATTGTAACATTTGTCAACAGTAGTAATGTATTTGTCTATCTTAGTAACATATGTGTCTGCAGTAGCAACATATTTGTCTACATTAGTAACTTAATCATCTACAGTAGTAGCATATTTGTCTTCAGTAGTAACATGTTTGCCTACAGTAGTAACATATGTGTCTACAATGGTAACTTATTCATCTACAATAGTAGCATATTTGTCTGCAATGGTGAAATATTTGTCTACAATACTAACACTTGTATACAGCAGTAGCATGTTTGTCTACAACACTAAAATATTTGCCTATAAAGGTAACATTTATCTAAAGCAGTAACACAATTGTCCACAGTGGTAAGTAACATTTAAAACAGGACTCAGAGTCCTAGGCCAGATTAGTTGATATGGCAGTGGAGCCAGGAGCAGCCGGACGTAAACATTTTACTAAGGGCACAGGTGTGAATAGTCATTTTACTCTTGTGGAGCTATTGAGGAGGAGATCCAAGCACCTGTGGATCTGTCCAGAGTGCTGTGATGATAATCCTCATTAATCATTAATGGACCAAGAGGTGAAGATAAGTCTGCTGTTGGATAGGTCACACATTGAGAAAACCGGAGAACAATATAACTAGAATGTCTTTGTATTGGAACCCACAGGGGCATATGAATAAAGGAAGGCCAAAATACACATGGAGACGAGAGCTGGAGAATAAAGTTAGAAAGATGGGGAGGATATGGGGAAAGCTGCATGCGATAGCAAAATATCAAACGACTTAGTGTGAGTTGGTTGAGGGCCTATGTTTCATTGGGGACTAGAAAGGCAGAAGAAAGAAAAAGAAGAAGAATCACTAATGAGTACTGTATTGTTTTTTTTTCCAGATCGTGATGCCCTGTTTACTCTTTAACATTGTTTTTATGTTTTCAAAGGGCTATAGCCATAGTTACCTTGTCATGTATCAGTTCAGGATTAAGTGGTGCTGCACTAGTCATTCTTTCTGCCTCTATGTTGCCCAACACACCAAAATGCTCTGGGGGAAAGATCTAAATGATGCTCACTACCTACAACCTACAAAGCAATGCATGCCACTCAGCAACTGACGTGTCTGTCTTTCATTTCTCATCTTTACATTTCTGAACTCACATTTACATGTCTCAACTTAAAATTTTTCAGCTTCACATTTCTCATATTTACATGTTTCAGCTTCACATTTCTCACATTTACATGTCTCATCTTCACCTCTCTCACATTTACACGTCTCAGCTTCACATTTCTTATCTTCACCTCTCTCACATTTACACGTCTTAGCTTAATATTTATCATGTTTTTAGCTTTACATTTGTCAAAGATGTTCATGCTGAGAGAATAGAAACTCCTTGTTTTCTGTTGGTCTGTGAATCTGTATTTCCTGTCCGAAATGAGCATCCTGCTACAAATGTACCCGTCTCTTAGTCTGCATTTATGGCTTAGGGATTGTGGTTGCTGTTTCACATATTGGGAATTGAAATAAGCTTTGTGGGATTTGATAGCATATTATTTTGCATTGATTTTGATAATTGTATACAGGAAACTTTGCACTGTCAGAGAGCAATGGCAAACTAGTATACATACAGTTGTCTTTAAAATCACACAACAGTAGTAAATGCTGGCTAGGTTAGTTTGCAGCATCTAAGAGGATATGCCACAATTGATTTGTTTTGTTTTATCCCAGGAAAATGTATGTCTTTTGTTTTTCTTCACCAGTGAAGCAACCATGAGCAATGGAGACATCAATGGTCTGAATGATACCAAGCAGAGCAACAAGTCTGGGGATGATAAGCTGGATCTGGGAAATGATGACAACAGGTCCAACTCCAACAACACTAATGATTCCAACGTAACAGCAGTCAAACGACCGTTGGACCTCGGTGACACAGAGCCCCTCTACATTTTTGAGCAGCCCGAGTCACCTTTCACTAATGGAAACACGTACGTCTCCTTCGGAAGTGAGCTGACTGACCCTGGAGACTTCACGCTTCCTCCTCCTCAGTACACGCACACACCAAACACCCGCTATGAGAGCTCACATGCGGGATCAGCAACACCATTGCTAGACCGCTACACGCCATCAATGTTTGACTCTGATGAGCCTGTAGAAGACTATGCTCATTACCCAGTGTATGATTCCCTGACAAACACTCTGCAACATCCTCAGATGGATGGCATGTACCGGAATGGAAGCACCAGCGGGTACAGCAGCTACCGTTCCAATGACGCAGCTAAGAGACTCAGTGGGTTCCACTACCCACCCAGCGTCAACGGGTCCATGCCTCAGACACCAGGGAGCACCAGATCCACACTGGCTCTTGCGCCTAGATACGCTGAGTCAGAAATAGATGAGTTTTACCCACCTGACGTATATCACACCACACCCAACCCAGTAGACTATCGTGACTATCAGGATGTGGGGTATCCGGTAGCCACACCCCCTCCCCATCGGATGACCCCGGCCACCAAAAAGAGCATGTCCGTCGGCAACCTCGGCTATGCACCCCTGTCAGTGGGTCCAAGAAAACCCCCCAGATTATTTCAGTCTCGGGAGTACATGGAATTAACTCCCCACGAAGGAGGAAGCAGTGACTATATTACCTCCCCTGAAGCTCAGCGGTACAGCCAGAATTATGGGATTACGCCCGGCACTCCTGTGTGACCAAAATGAGACAGACAGTAATTACCCTATAAAGATACATTATATATACCAAAGGATAATTATTGTTGTAATGACAGTTAATTATATTAGTGACAGACCACTGGTTTATTACATGCCGTACTTATTTCTAAGAACCTCATACCCAAGATCTCATCGTGCCATGGCAGGTTGTACCGTAACAGGGTCAGGTTAGTTTGGCAGGAATTTGTGTGTGCCGTTGCAGGATATGGTGAATGATTTCTGTTCGTATCTTGCTGTGGAGTGTGTTCTGTGAAAATAAGTGGCTCACCGATGGAAAGCTAAGCTGTCATTGTAGAACTTGTCAGATGTTTTGTGTTCCTATCTTCCTGTTGGGTGTGATCTATGTAGGTAAGGTGTTAACTGATGGATAGTAATCTTCTTCTTCGCGTTTACCAGCTGTAAACTCTGGCAGAAAGTTCTGGTTGCTCGTCCACTACTGAACTGCAGTCCTGCTCCAGTATGTGAGTGTTGCATGTGCATCAGTTTTACAGATCTCATTCTCTTGAATACAGACTGTTGGTTCCTTGCCTCTCCGGCAGATGCACTCCAACTTCAAAGGAAGCTCCCCAATTAGTCAACTCCTACGACATGCTTTTGGGGAGGCAGTGGGTCTAATCTTGTTTTCCCCTGCAATGGGGCCCCGGAACCCACATGGGGGAGATGGATAGTAATGATAACCCCAGCAGAGGTCTGCACTGGTGGATGGTTTATGTTCGTACCTTGCTGTGAGATGTTCTTTGTGAAGATGGGTTGGTAATTGATGGAGGGCACACAAACAAACAAACCAGTATATTTGTCTGCTGGAGCCTACGCAGAGTAGAGGAAATTAAATGATAGGATAAAATCCCCAGTGTAGAGCTTTGAGAAAGAACTAAACAAATTCCAGTGAATCAGGAGGTGAAGAAAAGATGCTGGAGTTGGATAAGACACCTGTTGAGAAAACCCAAGAACCAAATAATGAATGTTTTTTTTGTAATGCTGGAACATACAGGATCATAGAAAAAAGACAGGTTCAAAAACAGGAAGGTGGGGATTAGAAAGTAAAAATTTAAAAAAAAATGGGGAGGACTTCGGGTAAGTTGCATGTGATATTAAAGGATAGGATAAGATGGTTGAGTTGGTTGAGAGCCTGTGCCCTTCTTCTACCCTATTTAAGGATAGAGGGCAGAAGAAGAAGAAAAGTAAGCCTAGCAGATGTGTAACATTTTGAATAGTTTGGGTTTGTATCTTTATGTTAGCTGTGGTCAGGGAATTTAAACTGATTAAAGGCAAAAGTAACCCATTTGCAAATGCTGCAGGTCTTCAGCTTGATGTATGACGTTTTTGGCCTCTTGAGAATAAAAAAACATTTTTATGACAGCCATTTACTATTCTTTTAAAGAGAGATCGAGAAAAATATTGAGACGATTTATCAGATTTTTGTTCACAGCAAGGAAATAACCTACAAATTGATACATGCTGTCAGTGATTGTGCAAAAGTATGATTGGCCACACTGGTTGGTGAGGCACTTGATAATGATGGTTTTGTTAGTATCTTCGTGGAGGATATGGTTTTTAATGAGCTTGACCGACTGAAAGATCAAAGTAGTCACGTAGCACAAAAAAGCCATTGGGGTGTGATATGGTTGGCTCACTAATACATTCCTAAATATAGGGCAGTCAGCCACCTGAGTGCAGTTCTGTGGCATAGAGGGTGTAGTGAAATGGTTCCACAGTGCAGTCCTTGACATTCAACAGGTTTCTGTTCTCATAGTAGGCCTTTGGAAAGAGACCATTTTCATGGCTTTTAGTCAGTGGTATGAGAGTTGCACCCCGGAATAGATTTGAGCCCTCACCACGTAGTATTCCCATAGTTAGTAGCGCATCCACTGCAGCAAACCTCCAGGGTATTAGAAGTAGTGACATATCACAAATAGTGGCACTCTTTTTTGATCACTCTAGAAGGGTATATTTTTTCTTTGCTGTGTGTTTGTTCCAGTAAGGATCATAAACATGATGGTGTGTTTAAGTCTTTTCTATACTCATAATTTTTCTTGTAGGGTCACTCCTTTATACCAGATTTCTTCTCTTGTTACTGGTAAAATTTTGAGCAACCCTGTAAAACATGCTTTGGAGTTTGGTACTCTTTGTTGGTCACCACAGGGAGGTTTATTTCTTCTTTGTTTGCAGTGTGTTACAGACATAACTGTGCACTTGTGATCTTCATTGCACTCATAATCTGAAATTTATGGTAGCTCCTGTATGCCAGATTTCTCCTCTTACTGGCAAAGTCTTGAGCCATGCTATTAAAAGGAACTGCCCTTGCTGCCTGTAGTTACCATGTTGACGATGTAGGCGTAAGTCTTTGGGTCTGAGGATTTAGGCCAATATGTGGCTAGTACTGTTGCCACTGACTGTCTAGGTGAGAATAATATTTTTGCCAGCGAAGAAAAAATCCAGAATTTTACCAAGGATTTTAACATGGATCTCCCACTGAGAGCCATACATTCTTAACCGTTTGGCCAGCTAAGAAATCCTTGAGCAGTCCAGTTAAACTTTCTCTGGAGTTTGCTTTGGTGAATCACAACGACGTGTGGCAGAATTAGCAAGACCAATTTGATGTAGGTGTATTCTGAGTCTTGAAAATCTGGTCTGCATGTTTTTGCCAAGCCTGCTTATAATAGAGAGGTATTAACAAAATGTTTGCATTTGCTTTTACATGATGACTAAGTTTCAGAAATGTTCGAGAGAAAGAACTATGAGTTCTCTCACAGTGACACCATTTTTGTTTTTTATTTTGGATAGTTTAAACAATTGTTTCCTTGTGGTGACAAAGTTTAAGTCACATAAGTCACAGTTTTAGACACATAAACATTAAGTTTTCACATGATAGCAAAGTTTTTACCTTGTCAGAGAGACATGAACTTTTAGTTTTCACATGGTAGTAACTTTTTTTTTTTTTACAACTGCGAGAAGGTGAGGACACATCATAAGAGGTTCAAACAATCTGATCAAAGATTGTTGGTAGATTAATTTTTGGAAAGCACCCAGACAAGTAGATGGGTAGGTAGGTAGGTAAAGATGAGACAGACAGATGATAATGTAGGTAGATACATATTCACTTAATAAGATAGACAGGAGTGGTTGTTATGTTAGGTAGGTAGGCAGGTATTGGGCTGGCAAGTATGTATATAATTAGGTAAGTAGATAGGTAAGTAGGCAAAGCTGAGACAGGAAGGCAGACATATATACAGCAAAGAGCTTTGATTGAAAAGAATGAACTAATTATGGCGACTGTATTGGTTATTAATTGAATCAAAGCAGGTGTTTCCCGTCTGTGTTCATTAACATAGAGAAGCATGTTGCAGGAGTCGACTAATTGAGGGCTTCCTTCAAAGTCGGAGTGCATCTGCCTGAGAGATAAGGAATCAACAGTCTGCACACAGATAAGTCAGATCTGTAAAATGGATGCGCATGCATCATTCAGGTGCTGGAACAAGACTAAAGTCCAGAGGTTGATGTATAACCAAAGCTTTTCGCTGGATTTTACAGCCTGTGAATGCAAAGAAGAAGAAATCTAGTTGATTCGGGAGGGCTAAACAGGGGGCAACAGATGCCTGAAGTTGAGTGTGTCGGCTGAAAGGTGCCAATTTCGCATGTTGCTGTAAACAAGCAGAACACAGTAACATCCTCGGTTTAATGCAGAAGAAGAAGAAATCTGATGTATTAAGAATTTCCTGGCTCAAAACATGGTCACAAACAGGCAGAAAATTGTTTTACCTCACATCATGTCATAACTTTTATCTCACGTCGTGTCATAACTTTTATCTTTACATCATGTCAGAACTTTTATCTTCATATCATGTCATAACCTTTATCTCACATCGTGTCATAACTTTTATCTTTTCATCATGTCATAACTTATGTCTCACATCATGTCATAACTTTTATCTCACATCGTGTCATAACTTTTATCTTCAAAACATGTCAGAACTTTTGTGTTTTGTACTATTGTTTCATTTATGTACTGTGAAACGTGGACTGTGTGAGATGTGGATGTCACTTGTACTCACAGATAACTGTTGATTTGACTTGTGAATGTTTTGATAATCTTTATATAATGTTTATAATAAACTACCTTTACCTGGTCTATGTAACGCCTTTCGGAGCCAACTTTATCTCATGCAGTTATTACTTTAACTGTTACCTATCACCTGCCTCGTGGTCTACTCCTATTCATAGACTGTATAATATGAAAGCAAAACATTTGTAATAAACAGCAACAGGTGAGATGGTTTGGCCATCTGACAAGAAATCCCTGGTACCAGCTGCCACAGAATGCCACGCTGAAGAAATATAATGAGCACAGGGCCAGGGAAAGACCACAAGTACAACATTAAAACCCTTCGACCCATGTAACGCTAAAGAAATGGGGTCATAAACCTGTGGGAATTCTTGAAAAAATCCATTTAAAGACAAAATGTAACACATTATAATATAGATTGTATAGTAATACATTAAAAAAAGTTTTTTTTATTTTTATTTATGTACATGTGAAAATTAAAAAGATATAAGAAGGGAGTAATCAGTAAACATGAAAAGAGTGAAGCATTAAAATGTCCCCTCAGGTCTAAAAAATATGTGTATTGGGTGAGTCATGTCGTGACCCCTTGTCCTATATCACTGAGGCTTGTGGTAAAATTTGATGTCAATTTGGCCTTAATAAACAAAACAGAAAACATTTGATTTGAAGGAAAACCCTTTATAGGTGATTTTAGCTAACAGGTTCACATCCTGATCTCACAATTATGTGTGCAGGCATGAATGAAGCTAATATCATGAAGTATATGACTTGTAAACAGGTCACCACAGACTATTCAGAAAAGTGACATTTACGGGAGGATTGGCCCTACGTGAAAGTGTCAGTTTTGGGGCTTCTTGGGGTGACCGGTTTAAAGAAATGAAGACCAACTTTTACAGTACAGACCTTTTCACATCTC